ATAGTGGTGCTTGCAGTGACACTCACGGATGGTGCCTTGTACAACAGTCAATGAACAATATAAATCACCAGCACTCAGCAAATGAAATTTAAAAAAAGTCAATTTATTTGGACTAAACGTCACACATATCGCATAATCCAACGTTTCGGGACCACGCAAGGTCCCTTCCATCAGGGCAGAGATGTGACAAGTGAGTAAAACATACCATACCACATATATACCCCTCAGTGAGTGTGGTATAAGTTTACAGCCCCGCCCCATGACATCATCATGGCATCAGAGCACACCAGACAGGAAAATGCCAATTACAATCCATAGTAAAAACACAGCATAAACACCTGTACAAAGAAACGATTACAAAAGATTACAAATCGATAAGATACCTGATATATGCAGCCAGATCATGTTGGTATGTGGGCCGCGAGATAAGAAAATGCCAGCGAACAGATCAGAGGGACAAGACGCTACGGCTTTACTATGAGTAAGCTATCAGCGTCAGCTGGAAACCCTAGAAACCCTGAGGCATCGTGCATGGGGATCAAGTCCCCATCCAAGGAGCCAGAGCCGCGCAGATCACGGGACTCGCAAAGTTCAAGCAAGGAGGGAGGAGCCATTACAAGCTAATTTCACACCGAGCGGTCCACACACCAAGATTGTAAGGAATCAGGTCAAAATGGGGGTAAACCAAGACCGTAAAATCGGTAAAGAAAAATAAGAAGGAGAACAAGGAAAAGGATTGGGAAAAAAAGAGTATTAAATAGTAACTACAAAAGTGAGCAACATAAACCAAAAATAGAGTATAAATAAAGGTAAAATGAAAAAACAAAATACACACTATGTACAATCACATTGGTATCGCATGTAAAAGAACGCATCGGTATTGCATGTAAAAGAGGATTACCGAGATACCGTAGACAATTATAACCAATCAATATTTTGAAAAAAAGGGGGGAAACCCCCACTCCAAAAAAGGGAATATCAGAAGAATATATATAACATGCATATACCAATGCGTCTTAAAGCACAATATAGAGAATCAATAGAGAAAACATCAATGGGACATAGAACACGATCAGTACACGATCTCCCTCCGGCCCCTCTCCACTGCCAGAATGCGGAAGTGAGGTATATTACATCACTTCCGCATTCTTGTGTACTGTACTGTGTACGTGTACTGATCTCCTTCTGATCCCCTGTGACAGAGGCACTATGCTGGTCCCGGGCTCACACCGGGCTCAGTGGAGCCCGGGACCAGCGTGACAACAGGAGGGGGGCTGCGGAGGGAGGGAGACACACAGGTCGGCAGCTCATACAAGCGATCCGCCGGCTCTATAGCTGGCCGATCGATTGTATATTAACAGGCATCGGTGCCTGTTTTTAAATTGTCGGTGTTTCCCGCATCGTGCTCCAGTGGGCGTGGCTGAGCGGACGGCTAAAGACGCCCGCTCAGATCTAGAGAGCTACCGGCCGGCCGTTTTTTAACGGCCGGCCAGGAGGTAGGTAAAGAGTCAGTCATCTTTGACCATGCTGTAATAATATAAAATTGCAAGGCATTCCTGAACCTGTATAAAAATCTTTATATGTAATGTGCCAGGTATACATAGATATAGCTGTACCACTATACAGTTTTCTGGACACGTGCTCATCTAATTTCCCTCAATGGGGATACAAGCCTTAATATCGCATAAACATTAATATAATAATTAAAAGGTGTCTTTTTTTTTATTATACATGCATATATATAAAAAATACAATTTTATATATGCAGGTGAAACTCGAATAATTCGAATATCATGCAAAAGTAATTGCAGTAAGTCCTGCAAAAGGGGCCCAAACCAAGTACTGAGTACATATGCATGCTTGTACTTTTCAGAGGTCCGATATTGTTCAATCCTTGTTTTATTGATTGCATGTAATAATCTACTTTTTTGAGGTTGTGGATTTGGGGATCTTGTGATGATTATGGCTTACAGCTCATGAAAACCCCAATTATGACAAATCACGGCTTGAATTATCTTGCTTTGCATGTAATGAGTCTATCTCATATATTAGTTTCACCTTTTAAGTTGCATTAGTGAAATAAATGAACTTTGCACGATATTCTAATTATTTGAGTTTCACCTGTATATATAGATATACTGAGTGGCCAGATTATTATGACCACCCATTCAGTACTTCGTTGGGCCACGAGAACTCCACGAGATGACTTCGTTGGGCCGCCTCGTGACTCCATGAGATGTTGAAAGGTGATGCAAGGAATCTGACTCTGACACTGCACTGTTGCCCTTCTGTTGTCTTGTACCAGTCTTGCCACTCTCCGTTCTACCCTAACATTGACAAGTCGCTGACGGCCACAATTCGAACGTTCAGACCCAGATTTTTGTCTGACAGTCCAGTCTTTAAACACTTTAACAACAGCTGCTCTTGAACATTTAAGGAATTCTGCTGTTTTGCTGATACTCGCTCCATGGCTCCTAGCGCCAACAATCATCCCACGTTCAAAGGCTGTTAAATTGCACTGTTTACCCATATCTTCAGAAAAAAAAATAACTTCTACAGTCGTGGTAAACAACCTGCTTCCCTATTTATAATGGTCTGGCCCTCTAGCAACTTCTGTGCGAAATTATAGCTAATTTGCCTACAAACGTCAGGTGGTCATAATAATCTGGCCACTCAGTGTGTGTGTGTATATGTATATATATAATATA